TAAATCTTTGCTGAAAACAAATGTTAGTGGTTTTACCACAGAGGTTTAATGTACAGCAAGCTAAAAAACGTATGTAGCACATACATAAGACAGATATATTAGCATAATTAAAAACAGGATCATAAGGGATATTAAAAAAAAACCAACACAGTCCAGAATCAAACATGGTTTTCATTATTCGGTTTCAAGAAAACCTCTCAAAACAACAACACACTTATTATAAGGGGCCACTTAATTTCCTCTCCTCCAGCCAAGATTTTTGAAGGCATCTGGGGTCTGGAAAATAAAGTTAGCATGCAAAAAACAGAGCCCCACCTGTGTCAACTCAAATACACACAAAACGTACAGACATACTTTGGTATTTCTGTGTTCTCCTTACCCATATTTCGTGAGCCATAAATGGTGTGAAACAGCCTCCGGACTTATCCCTATGTCCCATGATCATGTAAGCAGCAATTTAAAGATGATTACAATCTTTGACACGGTAAAAAAAAAAAGTCCTACCAGAAACAGCACATTAGGAAATGTGGCAAGTTAATAAACAGGGCTACAAAGGAGTCAATATAATGGTCAAAAACAAACAAGAAAACCCTTCTCCACAGCTGTGATTTACTCATGCAGTGGTGTTACAGAGATCCCCCTGAGCTCCCAACTGCACTGACCTCTTGCTGAACTGTTGAGGGGTGGGAAGATGACACTCCTCAACCCTATGCTTCAGTCCCACCCAGCTGTGAAAGTAGGGCATTCTAAAAGAGGGTTTTAGCGCTCACATGAGTATGCTGCCCTCCCTCCCCACCATAAAATTCATTAGCAAAAAGCAACAACAATCTGAGACAGGGCTGACTGTGTCACAGTGCGGGTCAAGTTAAGGGAAAACAAATAAAACAAGCAGATGTTTCCCTGGCAGTAAGCTCAGCTGCTATCATCGCCACATCCTATGTACAGTTCTGTATGTCAGCTCAGCCCTGCACCCGTGGCGTTATACAACTAGGACAGACCTAAGGACGTCCTATTTCAGGGACTAATGCATTATTCCTGACATTATTAAAACATCACAAAACCTTAAATGATATTTCTGCTACTGATATAGATGAAATAGTTATAACTATGACGGCACAGGTCCAATAGAACTGCAGTGTAAAATAGAAATGCAGAAACTACTGGATTCATTTATTATTTAATCTCAATACTAAGTCAAAAGGTACCTGAAAACCAGTGTTACAGACTTCTTCTGGAAGTAAAGAGGACACTTGTGCTGTATATTTGTACATCTTTTAAGAGAGGAAATACTCAACTTTCATGACTTTCAAGTAACCTGGGTTGAGAACTTGTTAAAATATCGTAGTGCAGAATTGCGAACTTAGTTCCGAAAGTTTTCCTGTTGAGTAAATTAAGTTCTTAAAATAAAAACATTTTGTTGATCCTGTTTTTCCCTAGAATGACAGGAGTTAATACTGTCCTGCTAATATTTTTACATTTAGGCCTGCCCCCTGCTACCATTAAGGAAAAAACAGCTTTCCATAACAGATTTCATACAGTCTACCAGGGAGCTCAAGTGTACACAAATGATAACTTCTCAAGTACTAACATAATATTATAAGACTGCAACAAAGTAACTGGCTAAGGCTAAATACCTTTGTTAATAAAATAAAATCAAAACCCACTGCTCTTAAGTGCATTTCATTTAAGCATTCCACTTAATTATTTTTAACTACAGTTTAAAACCTTTTTGGTACATTTCAACTCAATCAAATTTGCTATATAAAATGTAATTATTTATTGTTGAAGGTGACATTCTGTTAAAACATCAACTCAAATGCACTCAGCATTTCAATTAAAGACAGCTTGTTTTCTTGTTTTACTTGAACAGTAAATTGTTTTCGGAACGTAATTATGTAAAACTGCAGTTTTACACCCTTTCTTACTACACAGATCTACAGAGAAAATACTTTTATCTGAAGAATAGAGATTCCAAAATACAACCTCTTTTAATTATTTAAGTACTCAGAAATATCAGGACATGCACTTCAGTTAAGCAAGTTCCACTGTCCTGAAAGAGGTTGGACTCCTGTTTTCAGACCGATGAAAAAAGACACTGAAAGGCAGCACAGTGGTGTAGCGATCAGTGTTGCTGTCCCCCAGTGCTGGTGACCTGAATTCAATTCTTAGACTGCAGTGTGGAGTTTGCATGTTCTCCCTGGGTTTGCATGGGTATCCTCCGGGTGTTCCGGTTTCCTTCCACAGTCCAAAGACATACTGGTGGCTTTTTTGGGAAAACTGGCCCTTTTGCGAAAGTGTCTTGTGTCTGGGTGTGCTCTACGTCCCGGTTCGGGGTGCCTCCTGCCTTTGCACGAGGAAGATGCACTACAAAGGGTTGTGGCAAAGGATTATAGAACGTGATTTGCCATCCATCCATCAACGAGATTCACACCATCCGCTGTTGCAATAAAGCAGAATCCCAACCTGCCCGGCCACAGACTGTTCTCCCCGCTGTGCTCTGGCAAGTGGCACTGCGCTATTAAAGTATGGACACTGGGCTTAAAAAACAGCTTCTACGTGCATCCTTAACAGCTAACTGCTGTTACTACTACATATTTATTGTTCTGGTTGTAATGATTTATTATGGTCGTTATCATGTGGTTGTTATTATTTATTATGTTGGTAATGTACTGTCTCCATGGTGTGGTGTCGTCTGCTGTACTGTGCATGTCCCGAGAGATCAGCGCAAAGAAGAATTCCACAGTACATGTACATATGGCAATAGACTCCTCTGCTAGATTCCTCCTCCTACCTTACATCTACCGCTTCCCAAGATCTGGTTCCCCCCGCGCCCCTGTATTGGATCAAGTCGGAAGAAAATGGATGGATAAGCAACACTACCTACCTCCATTGTCGGTCCTCTTGAGGGCACCATCCTTATGGGGACAGAGTTCACACCTCTGAAATGAAGAGAGCCAAGGCATTATGATCCCAGTCTTGGAAAATGCTTTGCATATCAAACACATCTGAAAAAACCTTCCACTGCCTAGTTTGCGGTACCTCGCATATTGCACTCTTCCAGCATTAAGGGATGAAAAACAGAGGCAATTAAAACCTGCAAGGGACACTGAGCTTCGGCTTTCGTGCTCCAAGATTTTTTCTAGGTGGAACAACTGCTGGGCCGGAGCTCGAAAAGCAGAAGCGACTTGTCATGTTCAGTAACAACAGAACTTAAAAGCAAATTCCATCGAAAACAAGATAAAGTTCAAACAGACCAGAAGACCTCAGCAGCGAAATGTGGCAATTTTGTGAAATGTTGCCCCTCACCCCTCAGTGAAGGGGTGTAACCCTGGTGTCCCGGCCAAATTTCCCATTGGCCTTTACCGATCATGGTCTCCTAATAATCCCCATCTTGGCTTCATCACTCTGTTCTCCTCCCCACCAATAGCTGATGTGTGTTGAGCGTACTGGTGCACTGTGGCTGCCATCGCATCATCCAGGTGGGGGCTAGACTGGTGGTGGTGGAGGGGAATCCCCATTGCCTGTGAAGCGCTTTGAGTGGAGTGTCCAGAAAAGCGCTATATAAGTGTAAGGAATTATTATTAAATGTTAACTTTTACTTGAAGACAAAGCTGTCTGACAGGAAAAACAAAGGGCAGATGGCACTTTGTTTTACAACAGTACAGGATAATAATGAGTGATCTAAACACTTGTAATGCTGATAACCTGAGAAATTCCACAGCAGAGGAAAAGAATCCCATCCACCCTCTAAACCGCTTATATTAATGTGTTTTATATGAGCTCTAAATCAATTTTTAATAAAAGTTCATTTCAGATGACAGTTTATAAAGAACGTTAAGGCACATTTGCTTATAAACTATAAACTATGTAACTTACCACCTCACCTCATAATAAGGAACGCTATTTTCACACAAAGGTTTTCTAGATCTCAGACCTTAAGTGATTTTCATGAGTACTATCTTACAGCATCGGCAGCCAGCTAAAACTACAACTGCAATATCCAGGTATACCAAAAAATAGCCACAAACTGTTAATGCCTACTCATTTTAAAATAAAAAAATACCAACTAAGAACAGAAAGCACAAATCAAATTGAGTCTATAGTTGGGGTGGACTATAAGCTCTTTAGAACTGCGAGAGAGAACATTCTCAGGTGTGAAGAACTTCACTATATTTGAAAATGGGCACCTGAACCAGGAAAGATTAAACCAGTGTCGTAGAGCTTTTGGTGTCAGATAAGTAAGCTGGCGAGGTGTCTACACAATTACATTCATACCTTTGAAACAACTGAGGAGTGTGAGCAAAGCAGAGACAGGTACCCACAATTGTGACCTGTAGCCCCAATACAGACAAGCTCACTGATTGCTGTCCCGATATTTTGTTGTGAAAGTGTTAAAAGAAAGCTACCAGCATGTTGGCTACATTATCCGTTACTAGCTCACAACATCAGCTCACAGAACCACGCTACAGATTATCTGCTGGCAGCTTAAGAGGACGCTATCTGCAACATGATACCCCTTGAATCTCTTGTGAGCCGACACAGCGTCCTTCTTAAAATTAGCAATACAGTGATGAGTGATGATAAAATAAGCACGTCACGACTAGAACGGTCCACTCCTGGAATTTCAGCGCAAGCAGAAGCAACAGTGACCTGAGACTGGCAGTTGTCAGGCACAAGTCGATAGCTGAGCTGGCTGTGGGCAGGCATGTGAGCAGTCTGAGGGCTGCACAAAAATCAGCAGTCTTGAATCTTTCACGCATGACAGCTGCTGAAGGGACGAGGCAAAAAAAAAATCCTGAATAAGCCGTTTTGTGAGGTCCCGTGGCCGGGACAGACATTACGCTCGGCAGTGAGGGTGGACAGCTGTGGTTTTGACATGAGGAGACAAGCTTCAACTCCTCATGCATATCTTACGTGGAAAAAATGGTGGCAAACCGGCAGAAGTGATCCAACGAGAATAGATGTGATTAGGAGATCGCCCCAAGGAATCCCAAACCAGGAACAGTGACACTTTTAAACCTCTTAAATTGCATTAGGATTTATAGACCAGAAATGACAGGGGTAAATGTATATAGATTAACACCTGCCATCAAGAGGGGGCCTGCAGTGAAAGACACAGGATACACGAAAAGCCTACTTTATACGAGGTTGCAGAAAAGGCTTTTGGATTCTGCCCCATTCCTATCCAAGTGCCTGCAGCAGGTACCTATTCATCGTCTCTGAGCTCAAGATGTCACACATTGTCCCTGGTCATCCAAAATAATAAATGGAGCCCATGGTTTGCTAGCAAGGTGTCCACGGCATGACCATACCATCTCTCAAGAAAACAGTAGTTGCTTATGTAACATTAGGATATATATATATATTGCCTTATTGAAATACAATTTCAGTATGAACCTACAGAAGGGCAGCAAGCAAGGTCCCAGGACTTGATCAATGTACTGCCATGCAGCTACCAATCACGACAGAGGGAGATCTATAGTGACAAGAAACCCTCACCCCAGCCATCACTATCTGGCCTCCTCATCGATTGGGCGGTGGTATACACTAATTATTGCATCATTCAGCTTCCATGCTCTCTGATGTCCATCACAAAACCTTGATTCATTGTTAAAGACAAGGCTCCAATTGTGCTTAATCTACCTAAGTGCAGTCCGGCTTCCAACTTTAATGGCACAAAAGACATTGTTCTCTTGATGTGTGGCATATTAGTTCCTGTTGTTCTGGATTTTCAACAGAATCGCCCCCATCACCTTTGCCCCACTCAATTTTCGCTAATGAGGCAATTAATTGTGAGGCAACATTTAAGTCACTCAAGTGCATCACAGTCTGTCATGACTGACCAATTCATCAAAAGGGCATCAGGAACATTTAGCCAATACGCAAAAATCTGAGGACTTCATTTCTCTAAATAACATGCATGCATAATTGAAGTACAATTTCATTTTATATTCAAAAGAGTTGGAGATGCAGGGAAAAAGCTGCTCGAAATGTAGCTCACCTTCATGTATGTGAAGGTGGCAGCTGTTCTACATTACCCTGAGTCCTCCATACTGCTGAGTCTGCTTACACTTCATCTTGAAGTTACCAGGGGTAGTCATCTGGCCCGGGGGGCATTGATAGTTGGGGGAAATGCTAGGATGTGCCGGCGTGATAGCTCGCTTAAGATACAGCACATAGCTGCAAATGAAACTTGAGAAGGAGGTCTCTTTACACCAAGCTCATAATTAACAGTTCATATGGATGCATTCAAGTGTACATTTCTGGTCACTAACCAAGGTATAGTCATTTATTAAAGACAATTACACTTAATTGCTTTCAATATAAAGCAAATTCCAATCAGTTTAGTGGGTCATGTTCATTGATAATTCTGAAATGGCACCACTGAGCAGCATTTAATTATGTGAACTGCATAGCGTAAAAACAATCGCAGAGGTGTGCCAAGGTTTATCTAACAGCTTGGCTTATATTAAATCATATTACAAGTTGCACAGAAACTGAATTCAGATCACCTTGTCTCTATTATCTTCACTGGGAGCCGCTGGGTGGTGAAAAGAGAAACTGCTGACCAAGTTGTGTCATTCCCAATAGCCCGCAGATACAAGGTTTTCGATCCAACTTACAGGGAGGGGGCAACTCTGGTCCTCAAAGGCCTCTATCCAGAAGGTTTAATAGATCCCTTTGAATCTCCTATTTCTTCGAACAAGGAAAGGTTTTAACTTGTCCAGTTACAAAAATAATGAGTTTCAATTGGGTTCAAAGAAAACCACAAACCTGCTCGTCCTGCAGGACTGGAGCTCTGCACCCAAGCTGTGATCCAATTACTTAACCTCTCAGAACAAACGGTTCCAAATGTTTTGAAGTTGAAGGTTCGAAAGAAATATTTCATTCAAATAACTAATAATTGGGAGAAAAAGTACATGAATCATTCTGATTAAGCCAATAATTAGGCCACTTTTAACAGAGCTCAACCTCAGGCCAAATGTTTCTTCAGCCTGTGCCTGGAGGAACATGGTGGACCAGTTCCCACTGCAGCAGAGATTTAAATCTCTAGTGCTAATTGATCTGCTTGCTTGTTCAGACTTAACTTGTTTCTCCAGTTAGTCCAGAGCTTCAAAAACGACCTACTTCAAGCACAGTGCTTCCAACAATGATGGTATCCGATTCACATTTCAGTGTTCTCCTACTTAACATCTGGTGTAGACTAAAAAATATTTGAAGCTTATAACCTCATCCTGAGCACATCTGCAACCAGGTTTTTACATTTAAAAGCACTCTTTCTGTCTGCAGAAAAAAAAAATTGAAATGGACCAATGTGCTCCGCAATGCCAAACCGTGTTTTAAAAAAAAAAGGTCAAACATTGTGGAATTTTTTTACAGTAAAAACAGGAAAGAAAAGGACGATCCTGTGTCATACTTGTCTTAGAAAATCAGAAAATGATACAGGAAATCAGTCTAACAGCACTTTCAAAAACTAAAAACGTACTATCTACATGACTGGTAATAAAAAGACCTTCTTATACAGGGCTTTAACTCAAGCAAACAGTACTTGAAACTCTAGCCTCATTACGAAAGAAAAATGAATGGGAATTTTATCAAGACATTTCTTTTAAACTAGTACTGGACTCCGGTAGCTACCGTTTCACTTACTACTGGTATACATGAAGAACATGTCTTACAGACAGGCCACATACCCATATATTCAATGTTTTTAAGCTTTTGGCAAGTCCCTCTTCTTCAGCATCATGGATAGCAGATCTTCCTCCTCCATCTGGGGATTGCAGACTTGACTTTCTTCCTTTCCAACCCTTTATCTTAAGCATGAGGGTGGGGCGTGGCACATGAAACACACAGGAGGCCTTTTTAGTACGCTGAATCTTAACTTCGCCTCGGCAGCACCTCCCTGCACACTTACTGGAAGATGGACGGGCTTTAAACT